TTTGCTATTCTGAGTGTCGTTTTCCCGAGCCGAGCTTACCGTGCTCCTGCAGGCATCACTAAAGTTTTATTTTTGCTGCGGTGAATTCGATAATATGGACGTCTCTGCCCACGGTGCTGACACTTCCGTGACCCCATCTGATATGCCTGGGAGGGGCAGTACTGTTGAAGTCCAGATCAACTCAAACTGGGTTAATGATTTCCCACATTCCGCTGTGTTTGGGACACGCGTCAGTGACGTGTACGCTTTTGGCTCCGAGCCAAACAGATAGATGACTCACTTGAGCGAGTTCGCGCTCCCCGTGCGGTTTTGTGCAATCACCTGATATAGCTGGCTATTACGGCGCAGTCCCTAAAGCGCCAAAATGTCACTAGTTTCGTTTTCACGGGATTTTTCGGTTTTCCTGGCGCTCGCGCGTGAGGTGCAAGCAGCGCCGGTCCGCAATTTTGCGTCGAGTTTGGCCAATGTAGCATGCTATTCTTGCCTGGAAAGGAAGGAAAAGGGGCGACCCAGCTGCATCCAACTTCCATAAATTATAGGCGATGCACAGACCCAAGGCTCTGTCCCCTTAAAGTTGCATCTGAGGCTGCATTGAAGCTGACGCAAAACTGCGGACTCTACCGCTTTTATCGCGGTCTCAGAATATTTGTTATCTGCGAAGCCTTTCTCCTGCCTTCTTCTTTTGTTTCTCCTTCCTCCTGCCTTCCTTCTTACTCTCTTCTCTCTTCATTATTTCGCTTCCTTCAAGTTCTTGGCCAGAAGTTGGAAAGAGATGACGCCGCGAACCCTCTCAGCGAGGGAACATCCAGTTAACAGATGCCTGTAATCATTTTGAGTGGAAATGAAGCTATAGGTGAATTGCATCATTCAGCCCAACTTTTCCACAAATAGTAAGAGGCTCTCACACTCGAAGGTCCCTCACCCTCAGGGTTGTTTTAAAGGCTGCTTCAAAGCTGACGCAAAATTACAGACTGGCACTGCTTTCCCATGTATGCATTGACATGTCCCAACGTTGCTTACCCCCTGTGTAAAAAACGTCTTGGGGAATCGGTCAACCTTTCCTGTAGCCTTTCCGGAGCTTTACAGGACTAAAGGAAATGGCTCGATGTGTAGGAATAGCACCCATAATAGCATCCAAGAATTACTCATGTTCTTTGCTTAATTGTTGCATATGCTTCTGCTACGGGTAATTTCCCGAGGTATGCCACGTTTTCCATTTAACCTCCGTGATTTATTCCGCAGAGTTTCAGATTCAAATATGACCCTACACGAGGACAAGCCGAACCTTACAGCTTTACGTACTGAATCGAATTCGATTAATTCTTCTGATCGTCGAGTTCCATGTGATCTGAACACGACTCTCGACCCAGAGGTAAGAGTCAGATGATTTTGCTTTTTGATGTTTTGATCATATGCCGGGTGTCATGGGACTGTTTGCTCATGCTTTATAATTTGAATTCAGAAACGTAGCGATTTTTACGCTGGATTCCCACAGTTCAAACAATCCGAGATAGCAGCGAACCCAGATTTTGTTGGAGGTTGTGTCTTTGAAAGACAGGTATGTTCCTACCATTCCTTTTCGTAAAGAACTCAATATTTTTGCCGTACTGATATGGAGGGGCTGAGTTGGAGTGCGTTCATACTTTGTGGCAGCGCTTTGAGCGTGTGTCAGCCTTTTGAGTGGTTGAGTAAATGGTGTCGGCCCAGCGTTGCGAGCGCCCACCCATGTTCTGAGCCTTTCAGCGCTAATCGATACCTACACTTTCTTAGTCGCTCAAGATGCTGGAGGACATTCAAAGCGGCGGACGCTGTATCCTTCCTTAATCAAGGCTTGGCTTTTGTGTAGACTATATGCGTAGGGCCGCAGTTTATGTCGCGACAACGCGTAGTGGGAGGGGTCACTCATAGCGAGTACCATTTCTAACTAAGCTTAGCTTTTAAGTCTAACGTTTTGGGGAAATGATACAGATGCAGGGAGTGGTCCTCGCCCTCCTGCCAACTGGTTAGAGCCCATTTCTAGCAAGGATATGGCCAAAGGCGCCAAGCCCAGGGTAAACATGTCAAACCTCGCTTACCCTAATATTCATACGTATTTGGATGGAATCGTAGGTTTCATGGGGATCCGGCAAGTAAGCACAGTCACAGAGTGTTGGAAGCCATTTTAGGGGGTTAGCGGTGGTCTTAGGTTTTTTTTTTGTCTGCTTTGGACTGAAGTATTTATTTTAAGGATTCGTTAGCGAGAGCCGCAACGCTACAAGAATGTGATCGATCGAGGGATCCTGAGGGAATTCTGAATTTCCTAGAGACAACAATGAACATAGAAGACTATTTGGAGGATATTACACATATGGTAAGTATCCCGCAACTTCTTGCCCTTCACCTGTTGTTGCTGCCTCTTCCCAATCCCTCCAGAAAGCTTTTGTTTCAGACTGGCGTGCCTGTCGATGATCTTGATTTGGATGATATAGAACTGCAGAAATGTAATATTCTTTACAATGACGGTAAAGCCCTACAAAGTTATGAGACATATGACCCTTTCGCTCATTCGGAACTTCTCATACGAGAGCAGTTGCATCCCGAAGCCTATGGTAAGTTCGCTTACCTTCCTTTCTCATAATATGTCGCAGTATTGTTATTTTGCAGTGGTTGATTCGGCAACACTACAGCAGCGCCTAGTCCTGCACTAGCAGAAGTTAAGAAAGAACCTGAATGGGAAAGTGAGTTTTGTTCAGTTACGGAATGTTTTTGTCCAGGTCTTCTTTCCAGCAAGATGATTTGTTACAGATAGCCGCCCAACCGCCACAGCAACTCGTTCGTCAAAGAGGTCCACTCGAGCGGTGCAACCCTTAGAGCCTTACGTACCGACAACTACCGCCCGGAAGTATCGGCTGAAAAGTCCGCAAGAGCGAAACAACCTTTCCTACAAAGTCAAACGGCAAAGGAACAATGATGCCGTCCGTAGAAGTCGTTCTAAGGTGAGTACATATTGAGTGCTTTTGGGCTATTAGACGGGGGGGGTGTGACAGAGATTCGTAACATGGCGCGCTGGTGGGCCTGGCAAGCGACGCCGCGTCGGGACTGACAACTTGTCCTGCCTGACCATTTTAATTCGAGTGCTGGAGAAGGGATTGGAGAATTCGATGTCGCCCGTCATGGAGTGTCTACTCCTCTTGTATTCAGACGCGTTCCGCTGCTCCTATCGAGTTACTGATACGTATCGCGGACTTGCCACATATCATCCCGCGGTACGCCGCGCGCGACAACGCAACAAATCATGATTGTCCTGTCTGTCTGCAGGGCCGCGGACAGGTTGGACTCGATCCTCTTAAATTGCGTCAATTTTTCCGCGTCTTGACTGTACGGCATTGAGTGATCCTTGAGATTCTATACCACTCTTCTCTCCAGGCGTGCTAAGTGGTTTACCCACCCCAGACTCTCCTCCCTTTGCAAAAGCTCGTTTGGTTCGCCGCGGGTTCTCCCTCACCTTTCAGAGCTTTTGGCAGAAGCTGTCTTTTATCTGTCTGCGCTTCATGGGAGGCGGACAGGACTATCTTGATTTGTCGCGTTTCCCGTGGCGTACCGTGAGGCCGTGCGCGGCCAGTTCCGTATGTGGATCATGTTTTCGACCGAATAGCGGAACTCACAACAATTCAAG